AAAAAAAAAAAAAATTGTTTTTTCTCCTTTTCTCTTCCATTACCCCTTTTTCTTACCGCTATATGGCCCTCAATGTTTCTTTCACATCCAAGCAGATTTTCCCACCCAATGAGAAGATTGAGAATATAAATGATCAATACTGGACATTGCGAGCAGAAGAGGTCAGTTTGTTTGTGCTTATTCAGAAATATAGATATCCCTCGGTGCTATCACCAGGAAGAAGCAATCCAATAATCATTTATAGTTTTAGTTAATTTTGGTTTGTTTTTTTAAATGTTCTTAGTTGGTTCTTACTTTGAATTTATTTTTCAATGTCAAAGATTCCAGAAGAAGAGAAAAATTTTGGTCCTAATGATCGCCTTATTCATGTATACCACTTTACCAAAGATACGGCTCAGACTCCGATGGTAACAAACTCCATATAAAGTTTTCTATTTTCCATCTTATCTATTTGTTTCCCATTTTGCATAGAAAAAATGGTCATTATTATAATTGTTAATCTCTTTAATTCCCTGGTTTTGGCAGCAAATTCAGAACTTTGGGGAACCTTTTTTCTTGGTAATACATGAAGGTGAGACTTTGGCTGAAATAAAATTGCAAATACAGAAGAAACTGCTAGTTGCAGATGAAGAATTTGCGAAGGTATGCCCTCATTTGTCATTTGCCTTTCATGTGGTTGATAAAATTTAGTTATGACGTTGAGATGTGTGAAGTAATTTTTATGTTGTCTGTGTTGTACGTTTAATGTTCTTTAAGGTATCTATTTTACTAATTGGCAAAAATTATTTGTTTTATCCTATCATTATATCAGTGGAAGTTTGCCTTTGTATCACTTGCTCGTCCAGAATATCTTCAAGATTGTGACATTTTGTCCAGTCGTTTTCAGGTATGGGTGTAGATTTTCACCCTCATGTGTATAGAGAATTTTTATTATATATTTCGTCTAAAGCTTTCACTGGGACTTTACACTTGTGTGTTTCCCTCTCAGAGAAGAGATGTTTATGGTGCTTGGGAACAATATCTTGGATTGGAGCACTCTGACAATGCTCCGAAGAGATCTTATGCTGCTAATCAGGTAAAGTATTTTATCTTCCAAAATACATTAGGATTACTACCAGGATATATAGCCCAGTTTTAAGCCCTTGAGAATGATATACTGGAAAAAACCTGTTGTAAAACTTGGAAGGAGCTGTCTCATACTGACATTCTCCATCACTACTTTCAGAATCGCCACACCTTTGAGAAACCAGTTAAAATCTACAATTAGGAAGCACTCAAATATCTACTTCATCGGTTTGGACGAATATCATGGCCTCAACAATTAGATGGAAATGCGGGAGGAAACCAGAAGCAAATGTCCCTGTAATGCAGCTAAGTAGCATTGAGAAGGTATCTGCAGCATTTGGTTGTTTATTTGTGGGGTATGTGTAGTTCCTTGACTAGTTTTGATGGGGTGGACGCTTTATCTTAGCAAGTGTGAATTTGTTCCATTAAGCTTTTCATACTCCCATTACTAGATGGGAGTTTCCGTCCAGGTGATGGGTCAGTTAAACTGTGTAACTTTTTCATGGGTACATAACAGGATTTTGGATCAGTGAAAGTATATACAGGGTATAGATGCCGTGGATGTTGTCATTTTTGCCCCCCTTTGGTTTGTCCTCTACTGATATTGTGGGTGTAGATTCAATTAACCAAATGGGGGAGTTCGCAATGGTTACTGTTCTTTTTAAGGACATATATATCTAATGTTTGCTATGAAACTCGACAGGCACTGCTTTGTGTTCCTCTCCTCGAAACCTCTAATTTTTATTTAGACGTTCTCAGCAAATAAGAAAGAAAATCTCATTGGTGTTACATGGGGTTTTCTATTTTTGTTTTTTTGTAATTCTAAAAAGACATTACACCCCATGATTGGTATTATTGCATCCATATTTGATGAACGCAAAGTTAAAAATAAATAAATAAATAAATTACTCAGTTAAAAGAAAAATTAGTGGATTTTAATTTAGAAAACTAGGAGTAAATTGTAGGAGTAAATTGTCGCAGAAAGAGGGTAAAAAAAGAATTATCGCTGACAAATTGAAATATTATTATTATTAATTTTTTATTTAGATCTGACAGATAGAAACATTGCAGAACTTTATTCTAAAACAATCATCATTTTTTTTTTTTTTGTTAACTTGTCAAAAGAGGCGGTTACGAAACCGTTTATAGGAAGAAATGCACCTCAAACTGATACGTAGGTTGCTAGTTGGATTGAAAATTAGGAAGAAATGCATCTCACTAGTTGGATTGAAAATTAGGAAGAAATGCATCTCAAACTGATACGTAGGTTGCTAGTTGGATTGAAAATCAGGGGTAACAATCATCATTTTTACCTGAACATTTTTTTTAAAAGATATTTTCCCCTAAATGTTAAAATATGTCTCTTGTTTTATTTTTTTGGAATTAGCATCTTTTCTAATTAGGACTACCCATACGA